GTAGTTGGTTGAGATACCTACCCTTAGCGGTGTTGGCCTATAACAACAGCTATCACTCGAGTATTCAGATGGCACCGTATGAGGCTCTTTATGGTAGACCTTGTCGTACCCCGCTTTGTTGGACAGAAGTGGGAGAGCGACGTGAGATAGAACCAGCAATGGTTCAAGAGACGGTAGAGCAAGTAGAGATGCTCAAGAGACGGCTTAAGGAAGCCCATGATCGTCAGAAGAGTTATGCAGATAAGCGGCGTAAGTATTTAGAGTTTCAGGTTGGCGACCTAGTATACCTTAAGATGAGGACGTTTCAGGGAGGATCTACGACTCGGAAGCTGAAGAAGCTTAAGCCGAGATATATGGGACCATTTCCTATTTTGGAGCGGATTGGAGCAGTTGCTTACAGATTGCGTTTATCGGCAGAGTTATCGGACTTCCACGATGTGTTTCATGTGTCAGTTTTGAGGAAAGTCGTGAGAGAGCCAGAGCTCATTCTGCAGCAGCCGCCCAGTGATCTTCGTAGAGACTTATCCGCAGTTTGTCAGCCATCGGAGATTGTGGATCGACAAGTGAGAGCGGACCAAGGGATGATGACCATGATGGTAAAGGTCCGTTGGGAGAGAGACGGGGTCCAGGAGGAGACATGGTAGTCTGAGCCGCAGATGAGGATTGATTTTCCAGAGCTGTTTCGAGATGTTATCGGTCAGTCGACGCTTGACTCGAATTCAGGGACGAATTCCGTATTAGTGGGGGAGAATTGTAAAGACCCAAACCCACAAAATTCATCATTTTCGGCCCAAGCCTCAGGCCCATCCGAATTGGCCAAAGGTAGTAGCTATAAAAGCTATTTTCTTCACCTTGTTTTCTCAGAAAATTTCATGCAATAGAGAGAGAGAGTTTAGAGAGAAAGTGTAGAGAGAAAGAGTTTGAGAAAGAGTATTTGATTTTGTAGAGAGAGAGTCACCTGAGCTCGTCACCGGAGACACCACGACCAGAGTACCCGTCCAGCTCGTCACCGCCGACCCCCAGCCTAGGTAACCACCGGAAACCACCACCATTTTAAGTTAGTTTTGATCCGTTTAGTAAAACATCCATAACTTCCTAACCGTTGAGAATCTCGTGAATGCAAGGGTACCACCGTGTTCTACTCGTCGAGACGAAGCCGTAGACCCCAAAAACGCCGCAATTGAAGTCCGGAGCCGCCGTCACGCGCCCGTCGAAGATCGTCCTCCGCGCGCGCGTGAAACACACACGCCGCCGGAGCCTCGCCGGAGCCACCGCACGCGCCGCCAGAGCCTCGCCGGAGCCGCCGCACCTCCGCCGTCCGTCCGCCGCTGGTGACCGCCGGTAAGCCGCCGCCCCTTCTAGCCGGCCGGTGACTCGCCGGTGACTCGGTCAACTTGGCCGAGTTGACTCGGCGAGTCAACCGTTGACTCGGTCAACCGGTTTAGGTTGGTCAAATCTGGTTAGTTGTTGGTTTAGTTAAACCGGCGGTTAAAATTAATTTGAAATCGGTTAAGGATAAACCGAATTGAAATTGATTTGGTTTTGGTTCAATTGAAATCGAATTCGGTTAAGGAAAACTGGTTGGTCCAATTCGATTTCAATTTGGTCAAGGGTTGACCGGCTTGGGTCAGAGTTGACCGGGTTGACCTTTGACCTGCGAGTTGACTTTTCCGAAATTGCCCGTTTTCGCCCGTTCGAAGGTCAATCTGACTCGGAATTTCGATCTGATTTCAGATTTGGGATCTATTTGAGCAGCTGGAGTTCATAGAGACCACTTTTCCCCAGTTGCTAAGGTGAGGGTCTACTTTCGAACGATTCGTACGCGACTTAGAACTTTAAATAAATATAATCTATTTCTATTGTGTTCCGTCTGCGTGAAATCGAGTATGTCATTGCTTGATTAGTTTTAGGTTGCTTGCTTAAACCGTAACTAGGTGGTTAGAGGATTCAACATTGATTGCTTCACTTAATGTAATGATTAACTAGAAATGTTTGGCCGGGTACAGAGACGGACTTCTGTATGCCGGATTGTATGAGGGTTACGGCCAGCTTTAGTCGACCGGTTGGACCGTAACTTGGCGTCGATAAATCGTCTACGGGCGGTGTTTCCGAGCACTATCACGGCTGTGTTGTTGTTGTACCCCAGTGTGGGATGTGTGATTTTTGGCCCGTTAGTGGGCGGCGAGTGNTTTGGCCGGGTACAGAGACGGACTTCTGTATGCCGGATTGTATGAGGGTTACGGCCAGCTTTAGTCGACCGGTTGGACCGTAACTTGGCGTCGATAAATCGTCTACGGGCGGTGTTTCCGAGCACTATCACGGCTGTGTTGTTGTTGTACCCCAGTGTGGGATGTGTGATTTTTGGCCCGTTAGTGGGCGGCGAGTGCGTGCCTCGCTAGGACCATTGTTTGCTTGCTTGGGTGTTTTAGGTGCCATGCTTGTACATTTTAGATTTAAATTATATTTATTTGGAGTGCTATGTCCGGGTCTACGGACTTCGGGGTAGCATCCCATACCTCACTGAGCGACTCCCCTGTTGCTCACCCTTCTTTCTTCCCCTTGCAGGTGAGACTGATCAGCAGGAGTGATCATATCGGACCGGTGCTATTGGGCTTTTGGGCTTCTATAGTATTTTATCTTATCTTATCGTATTTTATCGTATTGGGCTTATAAGCCTTGGACTTTTATCGCTTATGTTATTTCGGACTTCCGGTTTATGTTGTTGACGTTATTACAGATGTTATGTATTGGGCTTTGGGCCATTTTATGATTTGGACTTATGTGGTATGAAATACGTAGATTTTTAAGTATTATTATTGAGTCCGATGTTTTCAGTAATTATTATTAATTATATTATTTTCGAGAAAACGGGTGTCACAGAATTCTTAAATATCAAATTTAATTAACAGTCACCTCTTCTCTTCTTATAACATAGCTCGAAAGTTTTACATATTGCAAATGAACAATCCTTAGCTATGTTCGTAAAAAAATTTAGTAGGTAGGAATTTAACTTAGACGTAACAATTTCATTTTCAAACATTGTTATATTCAAAACAAAAGGAAAAAGAAAAATAAATTCTGAATCACTTGGAAGGTATAGATGGTTATACGCATAAAGCATTGGATGTCATTTATCCCCCAAATAAGAATTTCAAAATTACATTTCCCCTCTGTCCACTTCACGTTTACTCATGTATAAATATGCTTCACACCTTGCAGTTGCGTATTATGCTGTTTAAGTCTTCTTCATCAAAACGTTCGATATACATACATATTGGTAGGTGATTTGTAGTCATCATTACAACTCGTGTCATACATTTTATTCGAGAAAGCAACTGAATCATATACAAAGAAAAGTAAGCTAATCAAATGCTAGGACGAATATGTACAATACACAAACTCATAGTATACACAGTATGATTACTAATTACTCGTTAACAGAAATTGATATCTAACAGCAATTGGTTATTTAATTTTCTAGAAAATGTTGGTCAAAAAGAACGAAAGGATTTATAGAATAATAAATGTCAAAAGATGACATAGAAATGTGGTGGCAAGGTAAGCAACAACCTGATTTAAGAGGGATGTCATGTATCTGATGCTTGAGCTCCGAATATATAGTAACATAAGCTATGCAACTAGGTACAGATAAAGGTTCAGAAAAAGAAAATTGGCACAAACATGATTCGTGGAAGTATGTTCTGAAAGTGATGCAGCGTAGAGAACCAGAAATTAAGTTAGAAAAAAAAAAAACATAAATATATGCAACTCCGACATGGAAACAAGAAAATATAATTACAAAAGATCAAGAAGAATCTTTATAGAGTCTGTAAATTCACCAAGCTCCAAGCTTCAATATGAACAATATGTTAACCCATTGAGTGAGAACATTGATCAACTTATGAACAAGAGAGATACAGTAATATAAGATCAAAAGCCTCTTGGTATTAGAATCATTCTATAAAGAAACTATTACAGAACAGAGTGATACTGTTAGGACTGGGCACAAATGCTTGATACTCGGCTTGTACTCGCTACTTGACTCGGTTTGGTTTGAAAAGACAAGTACTTGCTCCATTCAAGTCGAGTAACAAGTAAACGGATTTTATTACTCGCAAGTACAAGTCAAGTATCAAGTTCATTTTAATTTTTAACTACTTGGTTTGTTACTTGGTTTATTATTTGTTATCATTTATTTGTTACTTGTCATATGTTATTTGGTTTATTAAATATTTATGATATATTTCTTTAATTAATGAAAATTTATGTATTTTATGAGTGGCCACAATTACTTGTTACTTGCCTCATGTTCACTACTTGGTTGGTACACGATCCTTAAAGTTGAATACTTGTTTTGACTAAGATGTGTATCAGAAAATTTATTTAAACTGCCTTCAAATACAAACAAATACAAAATAATAAAATAAAAATAATTATTCAGTGTTTTTTGGTTTTTTTTTTCAATGAACAAAAATACATTTTCCTAAATAATCATAAAACAATTCATTTATATTTCAGTTTTTATAAGTGAATCAAACATAAGTGATATATTTATATAAACATTTTGGAATTTTTTATTTCTTAATATAATCTATTTCACAAATGATTAAAAATCAGAAAATAATGAAAAATGAAAAAAATGACATAATATTTATATATAATAAATTTATTTAATTTTAAATTTTAACCAATTATCAAATAATTTACCAATAGTTATCAAGTAATTTGTAAAAAATTTACAAATAACAAGTATAATAAAACAAGGCAAGTAACTTGCAAGTCCATCAATTTTCGCAAGTACTTGAAACTGCAAGTACTCGTTTTTAACAAACCAAATACAAGTTCAAAATTTGAATACTCGTACAAGCCAAGCCGAGCACTAAGTATATCGAAAACACCAAGTACTCGGCTTGTGCCCACCCTAGATACTGTTGCAAGCTCTTAAACCTTCCCATTTGAAACCCGAACATTTTTAAAAAAAAATTGATCCGGAATTTCATTCAGGAATCTTCTTCGGGTTCGCGCTGCCATGAAGAACCCTGAGAATCTGACTGAAGGTTAATAAACTGAGAGACTAGTAGCTTTGAGATTCCACTTAGGACATCATCTGGTTCCCTTGACACTCTCAGTCCAGAGTACTCCCCTGCTGCAACTTGTGTCTTCTTTGACGTAGCCAAAACTTTCTCCAAATCCAATTGTGACAATGGCCTAGGAACCTGACAAATAAACGAGACCAAACTCACACATTGGTCGCTACAACATTTAAACATTGTTTATTTAAGCTTACAGGACATGGTCTCCCTTTTCTCTCTTCTTCTAGGATTTCTCTGATAGGGAAGTAAGCTGCTTTCTTGCAAAGCTCAAAGATGTCTGAACCGGTATACCCTTCGCATAAACGAGCTACATGATCATAATCAATATCAGGTTCAACCCTCTCTCCTTTCAATGTCACTTTTAGTATCTCAGCTCTCTCCTTACGATCAGGCATTCCAATCTCAAAGGCCTGAGGAAGACGTCTCAGTATCGCTTCATCAAGCTCTGATGGTCTGTTAGTTGCAGCAAGAACCATAACCCTCGCATTCGCTACAAAGCAACCATTATACTTAGATTTAATTAGGCATGGGCATATTTATCAGGAACAAAAGAACCATTACACTTAGGCATGGACACATTTACTTAGGATCCAAACATCGGTTTGGGTTTGAATCCTATCAGCTACTCAAACAGATCCTCTATCTCTACAACAAAAAAAACAAGAAACCGAACCGAACCAAACCAAAACCGAATGGATACCCAAGTTTCTATAATATAGTTTATATACATATAAATATTAACTATATTTAGTTTTAAATAATCAAACAATTTAAAAATGTTATTTATAAACTAAAATACCCAAAATAACCGAATTACTAGAACACTTCTTGTCTGAAAAAAATTTACAACTATCTGAATTAGCCAATTTTTTATCCAAAAATCTAATATTTAATTCGAAAACCCAAATTTTGTGACTATTTAACTGACTATTTAACCTGAATAAACCGAAAACCGGAACCCGATGGAATCCAAAATTTATCTCCGATATTAGATGGCCCAACTTTATTACCCAAACCGAAAACCGAAACTGAACCAAATTTTCTTAATATCCGAACGGATCCTAAGAACCAAACCGAAACCGAACGCCCAGAGCTAATTATACTCATTAAACATGCTCAAGACTCTGCAATAGTGTGCATATTAAAGTGAGCCGAAAGGTGAAGGATTAAACTTACGATCAGTAGAAAACCCATCCCATAAAGCCATAAACTCAGTCTTCATATTTGCCATTGCTTCATGATCCGTTGAACGTCGCTGACCAAGAAAGCTATCAACCTCATCAATAAAAATGATAGCAGGCTGGAGTTTATACGCCAAGCTAAACACAGCAGAAACTGAAAAGAACCAAACAGAAACAGAAAAACCTCATTTATAAAACAGACCAAAGATAATAAGCCTAACTCTACTTTAACCACTACTTACCAAGCTTCTGAGCATCACCAAACCACTTGCTCATAAGATTAGAAACCCTAACATTAATAAAAACAGCTCCTGATTCTTTAGCAATAACTTTGGCAAGCATTGTCTTCCCAGTACCAGGTGGGCCATAGAGCAAAACACCTTTTTGAGGCCCAAGCAGCTTCCCATAAGCAAAAAGCTCTGGTCGTTTCAACGGTAAGATCACAAGCTCATACAAAGACTGCTTAATAGTTTCCAACCCTCCAATAGAATCAAACTCCACATCAATGTGGTCTGGATTTATCACATCACATGCTATCACATCCTGAAAAAAACAAGACACAAGTGAGCATAGGCTTTAGCTTAGCTCAAAAGATTGAATACAAAACGACCTCGTATTGATTGGTGTGAATAAGAGGACGGCCTAAACGCTTGGAGATTTCTTTTTTCTGTTCTAGAGCTTTCTTGGAAGATTCTCGATTAGGGTCGAGATGTCTGAGCCCGGCGAAGAGAACTAAGCAGCTGAGAGCAGCGCTGGCCGCGTAAAGTATGAGTTCTTGTAAGATCTTTGTCTCTGAAGAACCGCCCATTTCTCATAAAAAAAAGCAACTTCTAGAGGATTCTTATATAAATAGTTAAAAGGATCCACAGAGATTTAGGGTTCTAAAAATGAAACCGAGGATATGTTTGCAGAACACGGTGGGACTCTCGCTCTTCTTGCGGACAACGACAGAGTTTTTTTTGTGTGTCTATTAAACCGGATTGGTCAAGAAAGCTCTTAATGGGCTTTATTTGGGCCGTAAAATGTTTCACTAATGGGCTTATTTTGAGCCCATATAAAACATACCAAAGCCCTTACAACTTTCGTTTGATTTGTTCAATAAAAATTAAAATTTCGAATGTAACTTAATCGTCATCGCTGCTTCTCAAATCTCAACACAGTGTAGAGGCGCAACGGTCACTTTTCAATTTTCTCAAAAACTCTCTCCCTCTCAAGAAACAAGAAAAGATCGAAACTTTACACTCTAAATAAAGAAAAATAAAATGGAAATTGTGGAGATAGCTCCAGATCTGTGGGAGGCGATGAAGAAGACAAAGACCAACAGAAGAAAGAAACTCACTAACAACGAGGAGACAGCACCAGAAGAACAAGAACAAGAAGGGACACCTCTGAGTGGCATGTTCTGTCTCAAAACAAGACAAGATCTGAAGCCTTTCGAGGAGAAAGAGGATTGCTTTATCCTCGATTTCGACCCCGACGACGATGCTTTTGACTCACATAAGCTCGACCCAGAAGGAGTTGATGACGATGTGGCGATTATACACGAGAAAGGCCAGGTTTTTTTATTCTTAAGGACTCTTGGGTACTTTTTGTGATTTTCTGTAAAGTTTGGGACTTTTACGTAATTTACTGATTTAGGGTTTTATGTGTTTTTTTTTAGGTGGCGTGTAGGGATTTTCCACATCCAAGGCATCTCTGCTTGAAATACCCATTTGAATCTACTCATCACGCGCTACATTGTAATCAGGTGAGATACAGATCTGTGTTGTGTCTTTTCTGTTTTGAAAAATGTGTTTTTTTTTTTCTAAGAGCTTCAAAAGGGTTTAATGTTTTTTTTTTTAAATGTTAACACAAGTGTCTGATGTTTTTTTTTGTGTGTGTGTAGTGCTACTGTTATGTCTGTGATTTGGCTGCACCTTGCCCACATTGGACGCCGAACTCTGAACCGCACTGTGAGGCATTAGAAAATTCTAGGTGGAAGCTGTTGCGTGAGCTGCAAAGACTTGCTGCTGGTCTTGTAAAATAAGTGAAGGACTTGTGATGGAGTTTGGTTCAAAAATCTTGAGACTCTGTGTGTAGTAACAAATGCCTTTAGTTGAATGTTTTGCTTAATGAAGAACCCCAAAAAAATTAACATCATTTTCAATATCTATGTTTGCTTTTAGTACTACTATGCAGAACGAACACACATTTTGATATTAGAGATTACAAGTTTTGCAAGCTCTGCAAGATATCCAAAGCTTGGATTATATTAGCATTTACATTCTGTATAATCTATACTAGAGAGGAAAAAGAGTGATACGTGACAAAATCTCAGCTAAGTAACTGAGCAAATATCACTAGTGAAAGCACTGTGTATAAGAAGCTTTTCTCCGAGAAATAAGCTAGTGAGTTGAGAATATTCTGGTGGAATCAAGTTACAATGGGTGTTTGAATATTCAGAAGGAATGTTTTTAAGTGGGAGAATGAAGCAATGTAGTTTAATAAGAGAGGTGTTGGTGTTGTTGACTAGGGGCCTGTTTGTTTCACCTTCCAGATGAGTTATCTGGATGGAGATGAGAGTTTTGTTTGTTTATACACTAAAATTACAACTTATCTAGATGGATCATCCGGATGACTTTGAAATTTTAGACTTAATTTTGAAGTCCATCTGGATGGACCAATTTGAACCATCTGGATGTAGATGATTCTTCCAAAATTGTTCCGCCAAAACACATTTTTTCGCAAAAACGCGTTTTCCGCCAAAACCGCAAAAAATACGTTTTCCTAGCAAAACTGAAAAATCCGGTTTTCTGCCAAAACGTATTTTCCCGCAAAAACCGAAAAACACGTTTTCCCACCAAAACCGCAAACACTCGTTTTCCTTCCAAAACCGCAAAAAATACGTTTTTCGCAAAAACGCGTTTTCTCATAAAAAACCGAAAAACGCGTTTTCCCGTAAAAACATGTTTTTCGCCAAAACGTGTTTTCCCGCCAAAACGCTTTTCCCGCAAAAACGCATTTTCCCACCAAAACGCCTTTTCCGCCAAAACGCCTTTTCCGGCCAAAATGTGTTTTCCCGCCAAAACGCGTTTTCCACCAAAAGGCGTTTTCCCGCCAAAACGCGTTTTCCCGCCAAAACGTGTTTTCCCGCCAAAACGTGTTTTCCCGCCAAAACGTGTTTTCCCGCCAAAACGCGTTTTCCCGCCAAAACGCGTTTTCCCGCAAAAACGCGTTTTCCGCCAAAACACGTTTTTCCGCCAAAACGCGTTTTCCCGCCAAAATGCGTTTTTTTGCTAAAACGCGTTTTTCCGCCAAAACACGTTTTTTTGCTAAAACCGAAAAATTAGTTTTCCCGCCAAAACCGTAAAATACATTTTTCTGCCAAAATCGCAAAAACACGTTTTCCCGAAAAACACATTTTCCTACAAAAACGTATTTTTCCGCTAAAATCGCAAAAACGTGTTTCCCGCTATAACCGCAAACACGCATTTTCCAACTAAAACCACAAAAACCCGTTTTTCCGCCAAATCCGCAAAAACTCATTTTTAGTAATTTTAAAAATATATTTAAAATTAATATTATACATATGACTAAATTAAAACAAGGGTATTTTAGTAATTTTTTTTACTAAACTCATCTAGATGGAGAAGAAAAACAGAGAAACAAACATGAGTCCATCTAGATGATCCATCGAGATAGACCATTTTGATGGACAAACAAACAATCTCGAAAATGTGGATGGACCATCTAGATGAATCATCTAAATGAATCATCTAGATGAATCATCTAGATAAATTAGCTGGATGGAGATGATAGATGGTGAAATAAACAGCACCTCTTTCTCTGATTCCAACTTGGCACCCTTCGTGGGCCGTACGGATTTTACTGATTTTGTGATTTTAAAAGAAGTTTAATATTTGTGTGTTCAAAAAAAAAAAAGTATAAAATTTGATTTTTTTTTTTTTTTTGTGTGCGATACCAATGGTCATTATATTCTTGGTTCTAGAATCTCTAACAAGTCAATAATGAACCAATTGAAAATGATGTTGTTCTTCTAGGACCACAACAATTGGATACTGTTTTAAAACAGTGTATGTCCTAGACAAATCGTCCATAAAATTCTTGTGGTTCTAGAAATAAAAGAGTCACAATAATTGATGACATAACATGAAACTAATTGAAAGTGATATATATAGCACACGGGAAAATTCAGAAGTTTGAAAAAATTTCATGTGAGAATTTTTTTCTCTCAACGTTTTAGGTTTCAAAAAAAAATAAAAATAAAATGATAAATATCAATTATGTATGAAGCTAATTTTTGTTGTACATGTCACTTTGTTTCTTTTTCATGTTGACAAAATAATATCAAAATTAAAATAATATTTTGTTCCCTTTCCTTCCGATAGTAGTTCTGTGTCTTGAGTTTGACCCCTTACCGAAATCTCAGAAGTGGTGATTAGTTGTAAATTTAAAACTAATTGTCAATCAACACTTATTAATATCAAAATTAAGTGATACAACCAGGTCCACACATGAACGGCTGACACCATGACACGTCTTAGTTCAGTTCATCAAAGCCGCCAAATCCGGTGTGAACGGGCCCTTTCTCATACTGTTAATACATTTGGCAGTTTGCCTCTTTGTTATGCAATAATGCATAAAGTTATGTTAACAGTCTATAGTTTAACTTTGTAAAGTTAGTAATTATCACGAATTAAATTTAAACTATGTGTATCAAAAATTTACGCCTTGTATAAAGTAAACTCTTAACTAATACTACCTCCGTTCCCGAAAGTAAGATTTTTTAGACTATTTACGCATATTAAGAAATATAATAAATGTTCATAGTTACATTTATTATTTGTTTTTCTACCCACTTTTTAATAAATATCCACCAATAAAATTCAGTCAATTCAAATATTCATAATTAATGCTTCTTAAAAGTATACAAAATTACCTTAAAAATATAG